TATAGATCTTCTGTGAGTTTACTCTGAAGGACAACAGAGAGAGGGAAGAGAGGTGGTAGGCAGAGTAACACACCCTCCCTCTCCCCCTAGAGATGTCCACATTCTAATGCAGGAAACTGAATACGTTAGGTGACGTGGCAGAGGGATTTAAGGATTTATGGTTGATAATGAGCTGACCTTAAAACAGGGAGATTTCCCTGGATTATTTGGGGAGGCCCAGAGGAGTCACAGGAGTCCTTAAAAGTGGAAGAGAGAGGTAGAAGAGAGTCAGAGAAAGAGATGTGATGATGGATGTTGAGTCAGAGAGATGTTGTGCTGCTGACTTTGAAGTCAGAGGAAACGGGCCATGAGCCAAGGGACGTGGTGGCATCTAGCAGCTAGAGAAAGCAAGAACAGATCCTTTCCTAGAGAGTTCAGAAGGGAATGCAGCTCTGCTGACACCTTGGTCTTAGCTCAATGGAACTGGTGCTGGATTTCTGACCTACAGAGCTGTCAGGTGATGAATTTGTGTTATTTTAAGCCAGTAAGTTCCTGGTAATTTGTTATATCAATAAATAGATAATGAAGACAGGGGCCAAGAATACAACTGGATGGTGAGAAAGGCAGTCCAAGATTTAAAATTATTTGTCAGTACTTTTCCAAGTAGATAATTCACATGTGATCCATTAAATTGATTCTCTTGTTCTTTAAGAAAAATACTCTTGAGATTCTCTACTCATTTTTTGTCCTGCAGGCATAGGACATCTCAAGTCCTTGGTGGCCAAGGGGAATTTTGTTGGAAATAAACCAGCACTCGATACGGAGAGCAATCACTGTTACCCCTTGGGAAAAGAAATCATGACACTTAAAAAAAAATTTTGTCATCATTGTCCTTAGATTCCTTTTTTGAGACCTCCTCTCCAAACCATTTTCTTGTACGTTGTGAATGTCAAAAAGGTAGTCGTGAATGCCCTCATCCTTGGTATGAAGTGTGAGTAGCTTGCTGAAGCTTTGTAGCACTGGTGTTTTAACAGGGACAGTTATTCAAACCATGTCCTCATAGAATCCTGAAATTTCAGGGTAGGGAAAAGCCTTTCCAATTATCCTGTCCCATTCCCTTGGTTTATAGAAAAGAAATGGAATCTGTGAAAGGTGAAACACCTTGATCAAGGTTACCTGGGAAATGTTTGGCAGAGCCAGGACTAGACCATGGGCTCTTGTCTGTAGGTGGTGGTCGCCCTCCAGCTGCTCTGCTTATCCTGGGGGCTGACAGAGTGTGTCTTCCAGGCCACCTGGTGACAGGTGGCAGGGTATTGACTCTGCATCTGCAACTGCCCAACAACAAAACTACTGTTTGTGGGGATGTTATGGAGAGGACTTTATAACCCAGACTGACTTCTTAGTCACTCAGTAGTTAAGTTAGGAAGGGCCCTGCTCAGTGAGCTGCAGGTGAACACTTACCAGTGGCACCGTGGGGCCTGTGAACTCTGGGTTAGAATTCTGACTCCTCCAACCAGCTCTGTGTCTTTGGCAAGTTTCTCAACCACTCTTGCCTTCGTTTCTTGTCTATAAAATGAAGGTAATAAGGGTGTCTTCCTTATAGGGTCACTTTGAATATTAAAGAGTAATTCCATGTAAAGTGTTTAGAATTGTACCTGTTACAACTCCATGGGTTGGCTGTATTATTAATGCTGTGTTAAGTAGGTGAGATATATTATCTCTTAGTCTTTACAAACACTCGAGAGGTAGGCACTTACATCATCCCCACTTCACAGTGAGGCAATTGAATCTAGAATCTACACTTACTTACCCTAAGCTCCTCAGCTGCTTGATACAACTAAAAAAGGTCGAAAACTCAATATAAAGGTAGAAGACACATGTTGGAAACGTCTGATTACAAGGGGATTAGTTTTTCAAAGTAATTTTAATCTACAGGCAGTTATTTCTAACAAGAAAAAAGAATCAACTCCATAGCTGTGATTCTTGGAGTGACTCACTATAGTTCTCAAATTTTAACGTTTGAGAGTACAAAATTTGTATATCCCATGGGTCTGGTTTCTGTGGCCATTTAGTGTTCAGGCTCTCATCTGCTTCTTCATTAATCCCCCATCTGCTACTTCACTAAACTCTGGGGCCTCGAGCAATTTTCTTGACCAGATCCCTGTCAGTCCCTGTGTCCCGACTGTAGAGTGAGACTAGTGATGCTGATCCAAAGGGCTGGTATGAAGATCAGACAATCCTAATTCTCGTGAAGCTGGTGAACAGCTGTTGGCAAGGGCTTAATAAAAGGTAACTGTCATCCTATTATTAGAGCTCCAAAATCTTCTGTCCCTGCTTAAACAGTGGCTGTGGACATATGAAAGGTTTATAATAGAGCTTAAGCTTCAAAAGGTCAATGCCAAGATCAAGGAGATAGGAGATGAGGACTTGGGACAGTAATTAACCAGAACAAGAATTTTTAAAAGTGTTTTTTAAAGTGTTAAACAATTAAACTGTTCTTACATATATGTGATCTCATTACCTCCTATTTCAGTTATTGATCATTGTAATTTTTTCGGTCTCATTGAGTCATTTGATAAGAAAACTCCAGGCTTTCCATCTACTTAACATTTTTTGATTTCATATTTGCTATTTAGTTTCTGGATCAAGGCTTATGAGTTCCATATAGAACCTAGATTATTAATATTTATAAGGATTATGCTGGGGGGTGGAGGTATTTAGCTCAGTGGTAGAGCGCATGCTTAGCATGCATGAGGTCCTGGATTCAATCCCCAGCATCTCCATCAACAACAACAACAAAAATTTAAAGATTATGCTGGTCTCAGATTCATTTTTCCTGGGTCAAGTTTTGGTCTTATGAAAAAGATTATGGAGCTGAGCCAGTCTCAATCATTTTAGTTTATACCAACGTGACTTAATGTGTAAATAACCTTACTAGTTATGTATAGTTTGGTAGAAAGGGAAGAAAAAATGCTTAGAGGAATAACTAAGTGATTATCTAGTTGAAATAAGGATAATCCTATAAATGATGGAAGAAAAAGGAAACCAGTTCATAGGCTCTTTTCTTAGATTCTACCTATTAGTGCAATTTTTATCTTAATCTTTGGTAAAATACTTACTATTGATTGTCTTTTTTTCCTAAGAATTAGAGCAACTGCATTTATTTTTAAGCAAAGGAACACATCAAAAAACAGAAGGGCCGATGAGATCAAAAGGAGCAGACTGTAGCAATAAGAGGAAAGCTCACCAATTTGCTCTGATTAGATAATTTCAAATAAAAACTGGAAAAATTAATCTTTTTCTAGTTGCCTTCTACCTCTCTTCCACATTAATTTCTCAGAGTGAAGATGACCACTGTCTTTTGAGAAGACACTGTAGCGTATAGTGAAACAATCCCAAATCATTTCCACATTATCACCCAGTACATTGGCAAATAAAAATACTGACCTAGTGGAAGTGAGTGATTTTTTTCCCCACCTACTTTTATTTTTGCCATAAAAAAGCACGTTAATTAACATGTATTACGAAACCAAGTGCTCCAGTATTTCTGTGTGGTCAGGTGGTCTCCATGTTATCAGCACTTGCTGGCAATGGGACATTGCTTCCTCCGTGATTTATATTCATGGAACGGCATAAATTTGAACCTCCTGTGTCACCTTTCTTAGCATGAGCTTTTTTTTGAATTTTTTAAATTGATTAACAGTATTAGTTTTAGGTGTACCACATAGTGATTCGATATTTTTATAGATTATACTCCACTTAAAGTTATTACAAAATAACATCCATATTTCCCTGTGCTGTAAAATACATCCTTGTTGTTTATTGATTTTATCCATAGTCGTTTGTACCTCTTAATACATCTGTCTTGCTCTTCCCCCCTTCCGTCTCCCCACTGGTAACCACTGGTTTGTTCTCTATGTCTGTGAGTCTGTTTCTGTTTTATACATTCATTTGTTTTAATTTTTAGATTCTACCTATAAGTGATAACATTCAGAATTTGTCTTTCTCTGTCTGACCCATTTGATTGTTTTTTCTCAAAGTATCTTTTACTTGCTCTATAGCAACTGACATTCTTTCATGTCTCTCCTGGTTTTCATCCCTCTCCTTGTTGCATTTCTTTCCTGTTTTCATCCCTCTCATGGTTTCTCCTCCCTTACTATCTACTTGCCCAACAGAGAGCCAAGAGTTGGCACCACCTCTCCAGCCCAGAGATGGCATGCCTCAGGGTGCCCAGACCAGGTGGGCCAGATGCACCTTGATCTGCGTGAAGAGACAGGCAAAGATGTGTCAGTGGACTTACTCTGTTCCTTTGGCACCTCTGCGCTCTCTCTCCTCTTCTCCAGGCTCTGTGCTGGT